TAAATTATAAAATAGTCAATAATATTAAATCTGTTATGTTATTTCTCTTTACTGTTCTTTTTTTCACCGAATTATAAATAATAAAACCAGCTTATAAATAATATAGTAAAGTGTAAAATTATCAGAGATAATTCACAGCTAATATTAAGGCAACCCTTAATTGTGTTTGTAAATATTAGCTATCAAATACAGTAATAAATATAGTAGTACAGAACAGTGACAAAAGCAGATGTGTGACCATTAGTACAGTCACAAACTTTATCTATTTTTTAAATAAATAATGCAATATCTATTTTTCCGAAGTGGTACTGTTTAAACTATTACTATTATTTGGAAAGAGTGTAATTAACATTTTTTGACTTTGAAGAATAAGTCTTTTTCAAGTTTTTGGTTTTCTGTATACACTAGGTTATGGGAGACCTTCTTTCGTTTTTGCTTCCAAGAAGTACTCAGTGGAACATTTTTCAGTACAATGTTCTCTTTGCACAAACTTCCATTACCTAACTGTGTCTTTCCTAAATGTTCTAAACTTATGTTGACATTATAGAGAACATCTGGCTTTTTACTTTGTGCATTTGCTCATGTATTTTGGTTAGGCATTCATCTGGAATTGGCTGTATTGAAGGCAGTGATAAGATGGTTCTATGCATTCTGCTATTAGCAAACGGTCTCTCAGTCAGCGTTCCATCCAGAAGCATCCCAAAAGACCAAATTCCCACTCTGTGGTATCATTTCATCGACCTAACAAAACAACAGATTCAAGTATTTAAGTGTGCTATACTGTGCATCCATTTATTATGTCATGACATAACAACATCAGCAGTTTGAGGAAATTTTTTATCAAAAAAACCTGGGTTGCTAGTTATTTGTAGGTTGGTTGATATTTAAAAATATTACTTTATTTATTCAAACATCACATCTCCAACAATAATATAAGGTGGCCAAAGACCAAATTGCATGTTACTTGTGTTACATAATATTCATTAAAAAAGGATATATAGGGGCCTATAATAAAAGACTAGACAGTTAAAATGTTGTAACATCAGAAAAAAAAGAACGAAATAGAAAAATAACAATGATAAAAAAAAATTTCAACCAATAATTTTAGCAACTGAATAATAAAGAAAGGGGCATCTCATATTGCCAAGTTTGCTGTTAGTAAAGTATAACATTATAATTTTAAAATTATAATTATAATAAAAAATTTGGAGAGCTGTGTACAATAGGTCAGGGTCTAAGCCCTAGTATAGTAGTATAGTTTGGTAGTAGGGTAGTTAAGATAGTATAATACATACTTCAAGTATCGAAATGCACGCCATCGTGTCGGGATTCAATATTTCGACATTAATTATGTCATCATCAGCATTTCTGATGATGACATAATGTCGAAATATTGAATCCTGACACGATGGCGTGAATTTCGATACTTGGAGAATGTATTATACTACTTATCTTAGATCAATCAGTGGACCTTTCGGTTTTTGTAGGATAGTTATTCATTAATAATTACCGGTATTGTATTACAGTATTGAGGTGTAGAAATAAAGGAAAAATAGACTATTTGGGCCTATTTGATTCCTCTGCTAGGTACTTTTTCAGAGAAAGAAGGCGAACTTGTCGTGCAAACTAGGCCTAGGCGTGTTGCATTGATCTTTCTTGCATCATGATTGATGATATGGGATGAGGAGGGTAGGTTCATCTTCCAACTACGCCAAGGGTAGGCCTTACCTAGACTGGGCCTAGATAGAGTCATGAGATGCATCCCTCCTTACAAATTTACCTTGATCGTTGTGTGTTGCGTATACAGTAATAATAGTGAACACTTACTCTGAGAAAATTATAGTCTGCAATCGGTGAATGAAAGCTAAAAACTTTCTTGGGATCACTTTCACTCGCACCGTATCCGTATTCGAGTGCGAGTTGGTTGAATCTTGTGCGATGATGTCATCTTATCATTAGCCAATCAGAGCGCTTTTCATGTTTCCCTATGCTTGACTCTTCGCGAAAAACCAGAAATTGAAATCCTACCGCGTAGATAGGACTTAATCAATTCGACTGCACACCCTGTAATGCCGAATGCAGATTCAAGACGTTTGACCAGAATGCAATGATCTACTATGTCAAATGCAGCAGAGGGATAAAAACAGGACAAGCATGACACCCTTGCCTTTGTCAACAGCAAGAACAATGTCAGTATAAACTTTAAGTAGGAGCAGTTTCAGTGCTATGGTGACACATATAGGCAGACTGTAATGGTTCAAAGAGTTAGTAATATTCTAGTTATTTATTGAGTTGTTTAATTAACACACTTTAAATCATCTTTGAGCAAAATGATATATTGGAAACAGGACGATAATTCATCAAGATAGTTATTAAGTTCAGTCTGTATCGGGAGGACAGATGATAAATGTTGTTTCAGCAACCACACAGGAAGTGGGTCATGGCAGTCCGACTTTGATGGACTTCGACCTATCACTTTTGAGATATCCTCGTGAGAAACAGTGTTAAAGTTGAACAAAGAGTTAGGGTTGGTAGAGGCAGGCGGAAAAGTGGGTGACTCAATTGTCTCAAGGTCATTGCTAATATCAGCAATCTTTTTATCTGGTCGCCAGGCATGACAACCATTAACCTGCTCCTTACTTATTGGCCATTCAAGAACTTGATCTTGACAGGAAAATTCTATGATTCTATGATTTGTTAGATTTCAGTTTTCGGCAAAGGCTGCCTTGGCTGGATTGATTATAATTCTTGATGTCCAATATGGAGATTGTTGTATGGGCACCAGTTAACAGATTTTGTATTCTTGAGATTTGTTGATCCTAGTTTAATTATGCTGTCCAGATAGGATCCATGATCACTTTCCTTCCAATTCCATACCAATGTTTCAGTTTTGTCGATATTAATGTGCAAGCGAAATTCTCTAAGGACTTTGCACAGAAGCTTGATCATACATTCCAGGTCTGTCTTGTTCCAGCTATTTATTACGAGTTTATTGTTTGGTGCAATGCCTCTAATAAAGTTCTTTCGGTTCACCTTCTTGATATGTCTTGCTTGAATTTTTGCAGCACCGTGGTATACCGGAGTGTTTTCTTTGATATTTGCCGCCATTGATGCCTCCATCGACGCTGCCACTGACGCATTACCTGGTCTGCGGGATACCATTCTATCATGTAGTTTAGTGTGATTTTACACCTGTAACGTGTAACGTCATGGCAAACCAATTTACTGCATTGTGCTGCATTTGAAATATCAACTTTAAGTAGTGATGTTCAGTTGATTGATTGATTGATTGATTTATTTATTTTTCACATAATGAACAAAAAAAAAATATACATGATCAAACATATTCAAAAGATCTATGTGGATGGAGACCACAATAAGTTTAAGAAAAACTTTAAGATGTGGCCACCATTAAAATAAAAATAAAATACAAAAACTGAAAACATAGACAGGTAGTCTGGTTTCTATTTTAATACATTAGGTAGAAGGTTCAATATTAATAATATTTTCAGTACATCACAAGATAATGCAGTTGAGTCTATCTTATTAACAGGAACTATAAGTGATATTTATGCAAAATTAACTGTTACAAGCACTGCAATTGTAAGGTCATAACTGCCAGTACTGTCTATCATGAAAAATTAAGTGAGCCCTCACTATTTTGATGCTGATTGATTGAAATGGTCTTGTTTTAACACCGGTCACTTAAACTTAAGGTTCAGAAGCGTCTCTGGATACGGGTTGCTACGGGTAATGAACAGTTGTGGATTTCTAGGTGTAGTTAAAGACATCTTGAAGCATTCCAAAACGATCTGTATGTGATAAAATAATTGCATGTTAACACCATGATATGTTGATCAATGGTACAAACTTTAGAAACTAAATGTTTTCAGAATTCACCAAAATAACCTGAGATTACAAATCTTCGCCCTGTTGCGCCATATTAAGTTCTGAAATAGTACTGGCCCGCTGTCGATCAGCATCATAGGCCCATCAATCGGACGAGTTTGCACGCCGTCCGGATCGCTTAATTTATACCTCCATGCTTAAAATGAATGAAACATGGTTAATCCGCTCGAATCGGCCCACGGTCAATCCGCTCGAGTCGGCTAGGACTAGTCCAACAACTCGGTCGAACGATCTGCAGGCACGAGTTGGCACCGTCAGTTACGGGCAAAAATATATAAATAACGTTCTGAATAATGCATCTTACTTCCGATCAGAACTTACTTAAAAGATGACTGAGATACATGTAATATTGTCAATGTGTAAACATTAAATTAAATCGGTCCAGCAATTTTGGAGTTATGCGCCCGGAAGTACGGCACACATACACCACAGACAGACACACAGCACGACACACACACACACACAAGGCAAGGGTAAAAACAATATTATTCATCGTGTGCCTATAATCTTAATTCTATTATTATGCCGTGGATTCTTTTTAATTAAGTTACGTAATTAAATACTAAGAAAAAGAAATTGCAAATAAACATTATCCTTTTTATAGTAAAATACAATGACAATGAAATGAGATTTCATAAATCATTTCTTATATCTTTTATTGATAGGCCTACATCCATTTAAATGCAAATTTACCTAAGTATACAAAATTAGTCACATTTTTGTTAGATAGCTAATTCAAGTAAGTTTGTATTTATTGTTTTAGTGGTTTAGTTTTTAAATTTTGACTATGCTTATGGAAATTTACTGAAATGACAAGTTGTTGGCTACCATATAGATATACTGCATCAAGACGGGACAATAATGATATAAATGTTGTAATTAATACAACAATCACCATTTTATGTAGTTCAATTGACTACAACATTTACTGTATGTGAACATTATGTATCGTGTTAATATTATGATACATGAATTGATGTTGGGTTTCGGTAAAATTGCCACGATTGAAATGTTATGGGCATGCGATGATGCATGGGTGTGACTATTATTATTAGTATTATTTTATGTTTATTATAAATTTATATTAATAGTCCACCGTTGACTGTTGACGAGAGCGTGCAGCAATTGACAATCTGGTCTCTTAGCAAGAATATATGTGCCTACTATTTTTTTTAACCAATGGTGTGAATGTTACCAAATACTCAACGAAAGGAGTCATCGGTATGAATGTCGTAGGTTGCAGTTATAACAGGTATGACGAGTGTTAACCTGATATAACAATTTTTAAATATGGATTACTGAAAATGAATATCATGGTTCTAATTTAGGTTATATAATGACGTTAGTTAATTGATTATTTGTTCTCTTGTCTAGTATTTAACTTTGGTTTGGTTAATATATCGTTTGACTAAACGTTAGTTGCATTATTCTATGACCATATCATGATACTAGGAGTTACTCTTTTATCCTAGAACCTAATTGATAATCTTATGTTATATATATGGCAAACGTTTATTATATGGATGGATGGAAACATTATTTATGATAATGATGATACAGTACGGTAAGCTCTGGGAACCAGTTGAAATTATTGGTTATGATATTGTGTATTGTAACCAAGAGTGAATGTTAATTCACAACTATGTATTATTGGAAGAATAGTTATATGAATTTAACATTCTTAAGGTTGACATTCATTGATTCATATTAAATTATTGGTTATGATATTATGCACAGTAACCAGGAGTGTATGTTAATTCATAACTATGTGTTATTGGAGGATTATAGCTATATGAATTTAACGTTCTTAGTGTCAACATCCCCTGATTCATATTAAATTATGATAATAATTTATAGTTAGCTCTGGGAACCAGTTGAAATTATTGGCTAAGATATTAGGTATAGTAGCCAGGAGTGAATGTTAATTCATAACTATGTATTATTGGAGGACTAATTATATGAATTTAATATTCTTAAGGTTGACATTCATTGACTCATACTAAGTTATAATTGGTTATGATATTATGCACAGTAACCAAGAGTGAATGTTAGTTCATGACTATGTATACTAGCATGAATTTAACGTTCTTAGTGTCAACATCCATTGATTCATATTAAATTATTGTTGTGACATTTAAATGATGGTCTGTATGCATTTAATTCTAGCGTTTTTTTTATTGAGTTAATTGACTTTAGGCGTGAGGGTTAGTTGGTTGGTTGGACAATTTAACATCATCAATTGGATAGTTAATTGGCCGAGCGGTGAAGTTAGGGGCACCGTAACCTTTAGCTATAATATCGGTGCTGATTCAAAGGGCTCACTCGCCAATGGTTCGGGTGGTGGATCAATTCTTCTCGGAAAAGGAATTTAAACCGTAGGCCCAGTGTACGCATTTGGATCGTGTACATTTTGAAGAAGCTCAATAAAATAAAATGAGAATACATGTTTCTATTTTCTGTAAATGAGAACTATAACATTCTTCGGTCACATGCCCCTTTCTTGTCTATTAGCTCTGTTATGTAGGAATATTAAAATCAATGCTGGTTGAGGAAAGTTGCCTCTTTACAAGTTGTTCAGAACATTTCTCTATGAGCCCAAAACTATCGCCAAAAGTTTTAAAACTGACCGTTGACCATGCATCTGTAATATGTACCAATCTTTGACACATGTCCGTAAAAACTAGATTCTGGTCTCAGCTTTATTAAAATATATACCATGTTTAAAATTAATTAATTTATGTTATTATACATTTCATCTTATATGAAGGAAAAATTGTACTCGAATTCACCCATCATGGTTTAATTTTATTCCAGTAGTTGGTTGTCAAGGCAAATTTAAATTCCAGCCTGTTGTATCCCGTCATTTAACTCTTCGATGGTATTGCGTGACTTGCGAACGGAAGAGATTTTAAATAGAGTACCGCTCGGAATTCCCAAATGGCCTATTCCCGGTTAGCCCCTGTACCTGTAGGATTGTCTTCATAATGGGGGGGGGGGCACTTTCCCATTTGTTCTCTGTTCATGTTGTCATGTGCTTTTATGGCTTCTTTCCATCCCCTCTAGATTTCATCTCCCTCTATTGTGAAAACTTTGTTTGTTTGGTTGGTGTATGTTTTTCCTTAACAGCATGGTCTGTAATTGGCGACTTGTGTATTATTTTCGATTAAATTTATTATTGTCTTTGTTATTAGTCCTAAGTAAGCTGGCTTTCACATCCTGTATATAAAATGAATTTTCTATAATTAATATATATTTTATTTAAATTTTTATTTTATTTATTTATTTTTTATTTTTTTATTCCTTTGTCTATTTATTTTTTATTTCATTTATTTATTCATTTTATTTATTTATTTTTGTTAATTAGGCCTAAGTATAAGTATTCACATATAAAGTGATTTTTTTTGTTGGCAATTCATTTATTATATTTTAAAGATTTTAATTAATCCAACATCTGTATAGTCTAATTGTTTCGTGTAGTTTTACTGCTTATCTCCTATAAATGGTATTAATCTGTATAGGGGAGTTGTTTATATGGGCTTATGGCCGCTCAGCAACCCTTGCTTGCTTTTTTTTTTGTTTGTTCCATCTACTTGATTGAATTGTGTATGTAATCTATGTTGCAAGTAAAATAAATTTGATTTGATTTGATTTGATTATTCGGAAGCTTTTTTTTTATATTACATCGTACCGGGTAACTCATTCAAAATCTAAATTGAAAAAAATGTTTGGTTTACTGATTGCTAATAATATACAGGTATTATCTGTATTAATATGTACACAAAGTGCAATTTCGAATGGACATGCCTTATATAATTGATCACTGCATAGGAAATTTAAGAGGTCCCATCACCAAATTTATTGGGAAGCTTCTTACATCATGTATCTCTAACATGAATTAGAAGAAAACAAGATATATATAAATTTGTTTATTCACCTTTGAATTTTATAATCTGTCATAAGTATTTTATGTTTCAATTGAGTTAGCATTAATAAATCTGTGGTGATGTCATCTCTTTTATTTGCACTGAATATTCCTATTCCCGACTGATCACTCTATCATACTCTATCGATATAGTGCCTCCGATTTGTTTGCTTCTCGCGTGCAAAAAAGCTCAAAGCTGGGGTGTTTTTACTACTGTACATCGCGATGGAATATTTCGTTGCTAGGCAAGCTATGAACGCACACAGCGAACCTAAAACATTTTCCCTGTTAACAGGAATGAAGCCTAGACCGGAGGCAGCTCCCCCTTATTGGGGGCCCGGGGCTCTGGCCCCCGGCCCCCGCTGGCGTCACCCCTGGCGAAGAGTGCCAGTGCGCGTACACTTGATGTGACCGATGCAGGATTTGGCGGTAAGAGTGCGTGAGAATTGCGGCGAACTTTTTGAGAATATGGGACATCTAGGTGCTCGAAAATTGCACTCTTCATACCTTAAAATCTTACCGGTAATTCATATCATACAATACACCAAGTATTTTTCTTATTACAATTTAGGGGTTGCGATAGCCCCGTCTGCACCCCCTGCATCTGCCCCAGACTTTGTACGTGAAATTGCGCAGCTACTGAATACACATAGTCATCACTGAGCAACCAGCACTTTGATGGTGGATTTATGATATAGGGCTTATTATACCGCTTTACAGGCCATAGAAAAGGTGATGGAAGTCACAAAATATATAGACGAGTAATTTCGTACACTATAGGAAATAGAAGCCTTAGAAACCATTATTTCCTTCAAAAATTTTTTCAGGAGTATGGATCTTTCGGCTTCTATTTTCTATAGTGTACTCAAAACCTGACTAACTTGCTTAATAGAGCTACTTAATAGATGGAACTAAAATCAGCTCATTAGGCTCTATATTTACCAAGATGTGGTCAGTTAAACGTGCAAGGTATCGCTAATTAGCCCAAACTTCGTTAGCGCGTATTTCACTAATTAAGAGGCCTAGAGCAAAATATTTTCATTTCTCATCGTTTCTCATTGGTCCCAACCACATACTAAATTTTAAGCAAATTCTAAAAAAGAATAATGCTTTTTTTTTGGTTGATTTGACATGGAATTACCATACTTTCTCAAAAATGCCCAGTTCAACTTCTATAGCTTATTTTTCTAAGATTCTTATATTATTTCGTTCGCAAATTATTCAGATATCCGGTACGTTTCTATACGAAAAAATTATGTCATTGAAGACCTCATACGTCGGTCCACATTGGTTAGAATGATAAAACACACATGCACTAGATAAATAAGCATAGACTTAAATACAGCACGGACATTAAGTATTCATACTTCCCATCAGTGTCTTCGTCACGTGACCATACATTAAGTAGTTGCCTGAAGCAGTTTGTGAATTCAAACAAAGAAACGTGGACAGTAATAAAGTTTGTATCCTCCTATACGTATAACTAAATATAAACATGGTGATTGAAAACTCTTATTAATTTCTTTCAGTTCAGTGCGATGTAAATGTATCTAATCTTCATTCAAATTATCAGCACACTGTCCCGTGGGCATGCGTTTCATTCGGCACTAGTCTAAACGCGGGACTGATTATAGCGATTAATTACTAAAATGAATTTATCTCCCGAGATTACTTTCTAATCAATGATAATTAGAAACATTAGCGTAGAATAATATGCAGGAGGTTTTAATGACTCTTCGGTGCACGCATATTTTAATTGTTGACATCAGGCTTTGATACTCTTATTTAAGGATGTATTTTTGCTTTATTCACAGCGTACCGTAAGGTATGAATAACCCAAACATATAATTTTACTGTATTGAGATTTAGGTTCTAGTAATGACATCGTCGACGGTCGTCAATTCAATTATTGATTCATTAATTCAGCATAACCTCTAGCTCAATAAGCCAAGGGCTGTCTCTTATACACATCTAGATGTGTATAAGAGACAGATATATATATATATATATAGTAATAGTAATAGTAATAGTGTTGTATATACGAATTATATATCTAATTATATATAATAATAATATTGAGATATCATATATAGATTTACTCCTTATTAATTTATTTGTTTATTTATTCTGTATATTTCATTATATAGGCCTACAGTGTTTCTTCGGTTGTTAAATTAAATATGCAGGATTGCAGAATTTTCTTTATCAGTTAAATTATCAATTTGTCACTACATTCCATGGATTATTCCTTATTTCATTCATTTATTTAATTTGTATAAAATTAAAGAGCTTTTAACAGTTATTAGGGAACACATATTGTCTATAAGAACGTAAAAGCTGTAAGAAAGAAATGTATATTGTACATTTTTCTTTCTTACGGCCGCTTCCTGGTCCTTTACATCCGGTTTGCTCTTTCCAGGGAGCATTGCTCCCTACTACTGTAATTCCAACAACGATTCTTTTTTTTTCGATCATTGTCTTTATTATCTGTAACTTGACAGATTGTAAAGTTTTAAACATATCTACTGCTTATGTTTTCCATTCTCTGCAGTGTAACCATACATGTTTTTAGCATTTCTAATTTTGCGATAGTACCCAAAACGTCTCAGAATCCCCTTCTCAAACAATTTCATGTTTTTCAGTTTATGACAGAGGACATAATAAAGACAATTTATGTAAATCCAACTGTATAAGTATATTAAAATTATATTTAAAATACAAATCTTATTTTAGAATCACCTAAGGCTGTTTCATGAAAACGTACATGGCTGATATCTAATGAATTACATATTCATAACTTCGCTAATATTCAGCCAATTTCTATTAAATAACTGTCTTAAAGAGTAAAATATATAGGATAATAACATAACAGAATGAATCTTGAATTTTCAAATAAAACGAAGGGTTTTTCCAAAGCCGATCACATTCTAAAATAAATATCACAATAATATTGTAAATCATCGTAGTAAAATGACCGGTATGTATATTGTGTTAGAATAGTCCAGTTGGGACGTAAACGTTCCGATAGGTATGAGTTTGAGCAGACGATTGTAATAGATTAGATGCACCTGCCAGGTAAACCGCAATTTATTCACTTTCATTTTGTCATTTATTTCAGAAAGAATGGACTTATCTCACACAATATCCTGGTGATAAACGTGGAAGCAGCTATCGTAATTTATCTCGTTTAAATTGATCTTGTAACCTTTTTATTGGTTCGCTCATTTCCACATTCCTTACAAGCGCATACGTACGTTATTTCACTCAGAAGAAAAATAATTGAAATGGCAAAGCAATGAATGGCTGTTTATTCTCTGACAAGACTACCATAAGCCGGTCGACATTTTAATTGTTAAATTTTTACCAACAGATTCATTTTGTATATTTTTTTACATAATATTGCATTGGCTAATTATGCTATACTTGGTACATTCCATTACCTGCAATGGGTCATCTCACAAAACATTTACTCCTATCATCGAAAATAAGATCAGGCGTATAAAATTTCCAATTTTGTGGGCCAAATCTTAGAGGCCATTAATGCAGATTATTATACAAAAAATATTTCTGACTGCTCACATAATCTGATCGTTAACGCTTTTCTTGAATATTGCGATCGATGGGTACTTGAAAGATAAGTGACAGTGTTGAGCTATTAAATTGTCGACATAGCTGTAAATTTTGTAGTTTGAAATAGCCTGAAAAGCACATATGTTGTATGTATTTATATTTACTGAAACTGTGTATACTCCACTATGGATTCTACGAAATCAAGCGTTATTATATCCACTACAGAAATCAGCGTTAATGTTTCGGACGTTTCAGAGTCGGATTCCACAGAAGAGCAAACACCGGCGTTTTTAGAAAAAACTAGCACTGCTAGTCAGCAAAGAATACTCCTCAATTTAGATGTTGGTGCTGTCACACGAATGCGGCGCAGAAGCGCGCCATCCCTCAAAAGTATCCAGGAATCACCGGTAGAGAAACATTTGTCGAAACCGTTGCTTCTTGCAGATATCAATAGACCTCCAACCCCAACCACAAGTAAAAACTTTCTTTCACGACCGTCTAATGTCAGACATCGAAGAGGATCATGTCCCGCAATCCTAGAACCAATAAAAGAGGGACTTTTCAGTGAGCATGATAAGCAAGCCACTGCTCGGGCTTCTAGTCTATCACCAAATCTTAACCGACAGAGGCGCAAGAACAGTGCTGACCAACCACACGTCGGGCTAAGCCAAGGGTTAGTTATTACTGACCATCAGTTTCGCCTACGCAGCAACTCATCGCCTATCTCAATTGAGACAAAGAAGCCCCTAGCAGTGGAAACACTTTTTCCTAGGCCTAGACGCAATAGCTTAGGATGTGCAACACTTGATGAGCTTAAGGGGCAATACAAACTCTTAGACTCCCGATCAAAGGTACAGGAGGAAGAGGTCAGCATAGACTCTTCGTCGTGTAACTTTAACTTGTTAGAGCCGACTTCAAATGTAATGCATTTATCAGAGTCTGCATAAACAAAAGCGCATCGAAAAACTTTTTAGCTGCTTACCAATTTTGTAAATCAAATAATATGATTCTTAATCAATGGTAGCATTTATCATGAGATAGAAAGTATTATAGTGGCACGACTCTCGTTCGTATTCTTGAAACGGAATTTACTTCTAGTTCGAACTAGGCTTTCAACAAGCACTAGTTGCAGCATTTGAACTTTCGATTATTATTCATTAAAAAAAGCTCTATACTAGTGTTTTAGTTCGAGTAGAGTAGTGCGGTTCAATACATCTTGCAAGCAGGTGCAAAAAATCTTACAGATCGATGTCAACATCGGATTTAAAAGCAGACGAAGTTTTTTATGCGATACATCAAGCACTCGTCTTAGCTCTAGGTTAAAACATATTTTCTCGTAATTTTGCTCGATATGAATTTATGGCCGTTGCTGACATACAAACTAAAGGATGGGATGAGAGCTGTAATTTTGATAAAAAGCCTTAACCCACCATCGAGATACGCCTGTCCGAAGACCGACCGAATTGGGTAAACTTTTAGCAATTATTTCTTTTACGTACGTGGCTTTCTAACAACAAAAATATCGTCATTTAAGACCGAACTGAAATGTTTTCTTCATGAATTACACTTAGTATGATAATGCTGCATATGCTACAGTTATAACTTCTTGCAATGAAGCATGAGGTACAACAATTCGTATTTAACGAGGTAAATATTTCCCTAGATAGGTAGCAAGGTCATCTTAGTTTAGTTATGATAAACTGAGTTTAGTCTTAGGAATATGAAGTGAAGCTCATTGAAACTGGTTGTTAAAGATCATTAAGAGTACGGGCGTCAGCATAGTACTACACATACCATGCTGAAGTCTTTCTGCGTTTGTGAAAATGCACATTACATATAATAGACTTACATGCTATAGAATTGATTTGTTTCACCTTAGCTTTCAGAACTTGGTGCTATTAGTTAATTATCTTATAATATTACTTTTATACTTCATTGTATGGTATATGGTGCAAACATAGGTGGTATGAATATGAACAATCTAAATGTTTCATTACGTAGGCCTATGCCTATGTTACCTTTAAAAATCAATACCGTACATTGCACTGTATTTTGATCACGTCATTTTCAACTTTGAAAATGAAATTATGTGTATGTTATTTGTATTCTAATGTTCTTCTTAAAGCTATTTTTATAAATTTCTTTACAAAAACGTTGTTACAACTGAACTGAGAAACTGAACTTGTCTTTCAAACGCAGTATATAATGTAAAATGTTACCCTAATGTGACTTTACTGTGATTATTTATTTCATAAAAATTAAAAGATGTAAAGTAGGTGCTGGTGCTAGATCAAACTTATGAATATGGAAAATCCAAATAGCATCATTTTCTTTTCGTAAGTGTATGCTTTTAATAGAAATACTCTAAAAAATAATGTTTTGTCTCTTGTATTAAATGCTAAATTTGAAACATCGAATATTGTCGTCTACAGTTTGAAAGTACTGTACTAAAATTGACTCACACGCTGTATATTTATGGACTAATCGAATACTGTAGTGTCGTAGACAAATACCTACCTGTTCTCATCGTAGTGACATTTTATTGAAATATTAATCGATCGTGACCTATAATAAATATTTCCGAATACACAATTATTATCATAAATTATTCTAATATTAATAAATACACATGAACAAATCTGAAACTTGGCATTCGATTAAAAAAAATATACAGTTATTTTCTTCTAAAATTAAAATTTTAATTTTATTTATTTGTTATGAAAATCTCACATCAAGTTAGCGAGTTCATAAAAACATTGCGATATAAAATTATATGCATAATGATTAAAATACTTTAAAAAAAAAGGCGTGCAAATATGTATAAAAAGTGAACATTCAGATTGTTTTGAATAAAGACAACTGAAAAACAGATTAAATTTTTAGAATACACGCATAAAGAGATGCAAAATAAAATTAAAAAAATTGAAAGTAAATAGAAATTGAAATTTAACAAATTGCACAGAAACATATTAATTATATTAGGTATGTATATTAAATTAATGATATTTTTGTTATTTTCATTATTTATCATGATTAAATTACAAAATGGTACAAAAATATAATTTTTGATTTGAAAATAAACATTGAAAATGAAGAAAAACCCCTAAAATTGAACAAAAATGTACATTGGTTGTGGTATTTTAAAACTATCAAATCCAATTACAAACATTATTTTTATTGGGTTCAGATTTAATTTCGGTTGTCGACAATCTAATGGTTTGGTTTGACAACGTGTGATTCAAATGAGATGAGATAAACTTTAGTCATAATTTCAGCGAAGAGAAATGAATGCTGACTGTCTCTTATACACATCTAGATGTGTATAAGAGACAGAGTTGCAGCATTTGAACTTTCGATTATTATTCATTAAAAAAAGCTCTATACTAGTGTTTTAGTTCGAGTAGAGTAGTGCGGTTCAATATAATAATAACTGTTAAACAAGAGTCGCTGAACTAGAAAACTGACACGATTGAATGCATTTCAAGACAATCAACAACTTGATGCATCTAATATTTACATACAAATTAGCGGCACAAATATTGCTCAACGTAGAAAAAAAAAATGAATTAGACAATTTATTTTACGTTTTTCAGCCAAATACATCTTTTATTGATTTATTTCTGTTGAAAGTAATTTCCATAAACACTTTGTTTGTATTTCAGTAAAATTTTCTTTTGGCTAAGCTTGCTACCGTTTATTTAGGGAGCAGTTGGCGCAGTAGTTGCGTATCGGTTTCTCAACCTCGTGGTCAGGAGTTCGGACTTTCTCTGTGCATTTTGCTGGTGTTCTTGGACAAAGCATCCTACTATCCCGATTTTGTCAAATCAAGAGCAACACAACAATTGTTTGGTCTAGTCGGGGAACAGTTGAATTAATTTCACTGTTCCCTGGTCTAACCTAAATGCACCATCTTCCGTTTTCCTGTATTAGATGACAACAACCGTTTCCTGGACAAGTTGAATAAAAGTTGTTCGATAATTCTGATTTTGGGCCGAGGCAACTATATACGTGTGGTTTCGTCTGCAAAAAAGCTTAATATTTGTCTTGAAGTAAGGAGAAAATCATTTAAAAATGATGAAAACAGAAGCGGATCCATCACAGATAATTGCGGAACTTCCCTTGTAATATATCTTTTCACTCCTCTCATTTACACATTATTTTCTACCGGTAAAGCAGTTTGTCCACTTTCGGTGTTTAAATTGGTCTGGTAGAGACGCTGAGGGCACACTTTACTGGCAAGCAAAGGATTCGCTAAGTGTAGGACAATTGCGCAGGAAATCAAGATACTTGTTGTGCTAAAATAGGAAAGCTACCTGAATGAAATTAACATATGACATAGATTTGTATATTAGAAATTGAAAACCAAAATATAGTTTTCTATATTTATTCAATATTAAAGGCAGTGGGGAAATCGTCGCAGCAATCGCAATTGCTGAGTTACACAGCAACTAAGGAATAGTTAGGCCTAATGGGGAATCTGGATTCTGTATCCGTTTAACTTATTACTGACCGACGTAATGCCAATCCTACCAATTTTATAAACAAGCTGTTTACATGTGAATGTCAATTAACTTTATCATGAATGTAGATTCATGAATGACCAAAACATTTGTCAAAGAATTTGGGTGATAAAATATCAACTACTATAGAAATACAACAATGGATGAAATAAAAAAAGAAAGCGTATGTATGCATCCAAATCATAAAGGTCATTAGAGCAAAGGTCAAAAGATGACGGCATCAAGCCGTGCAGAAGGTGTGGAACTAGACATGATAAAAGAGAATGTCTGGCAAATCGTGCCACAATTAAGGCAGGCCAAATAATTCTGCAATGCTGTTTAGATCCAGTAGCAAAATGGTAAATAATATACAGATTGAGAGATTAATTTTTCCATAGACAGTCACAAAACATGGATCATGAATGGAAATCAACGTTGGAGATAAATAATTTTCAGTGGTTTTCATCCACGGCACATGAGTTCAGATCCACCAACCACTGCATGTGTTCCAGGAATGTGATCGCATTGGTATAGGTAAGGTATACAATGAAATCTACACAAATTTTACAAATGTGCTTAAAGGCTTTGGATGTCTCCAAAGAGAACAAGGGCTCTGGCTGGACGACGTGTTTTTATTGTGTATATTTTTTTCAAAAAGACATTTTAACTTAATGTATATCAAATAATAAACTTACCTTCCATAGTTCCATAAAATTGTTACGATCAGATTAGTTTGAGGCTCTAAAAGTATCAGCAGAAGTTGATGCAGAAAACAGATGTCCACCAGCCTACATCCAACGAAAAACAGGCGCAAATGGCAATCATCAACGTAATCGTAACGGTCGCGTTCGCGTAGATATTGTCACGTGACGCTTGTTGACGAATCAGTAATTGTTTTCGATGTTCTTATACGTTAAAGAAAATAATTATCCTGAATAATTGGTTCAAATTTTATTGTTACCTATGGTAATTGTTTGGGCCTAGCATTAGGTATTTGGTCTTTCTAAAATATGTAATTTTTTTAAACGTTTTGTGTTAGCTGGGATCAGAGAGATAGTGCAACACCAGTACAGCATTCTTGTAGAAGGTACCTTTTCCCGTCTGAAGTCAGCTGAAAGAGGGTTTAACAGGATGCCGAATATGAGTGTGATCCAGGGACGTAGCCAGAATATTAAAAGGGTCGGGGGAGCCGTTATGCGAGATACGTATGACCCCGGCGGGGTCCAGGGTACGAACACCCCCCCATGTGAAGTAGCGCACTCTGAATTCGTTTTAAGGACTGTTTTGAGAGGATAAAGTGAAAATTGTATTAGACATATCATAAATAATATTAGTGGGCCCAGCAATAATTCTAATAAATCAACAGAATCCATGAATTCGAAAGACATGTGTCCCAGGGAGGGATTTTCACAGACTGAGGAACCACCCACCTCAGCCCCACCATGGTTGGGACTGAGGTAAGAAGATTTATGATTAGGGCACCTCTAGATGGCCGGAAATTACACTTTCATACTTAAATTTGAATATATTTTCCTTTTTTTTTCCTCAAAAAAAAAAAAAAAAATTATCTAAAATAGTCATAATCACGAAAAAGGGCATGAAAAACCAGATCACGTTCTAAAACAAATTTATGCCCCCTCTCCTCAGCAGTCACAAGACATACTCTGAGTCAGGTGCCGACTCGATGCAGTTTAATGTCATACCCAGAAGGGCGCAGATCTGTTTTTTAAGGTTGAGGGGGAGGACATTTTGTGAGTCGGCACCGACCTCAGACTCACCATGGTTGGAGCTGAGGAGCGAAAATGTGAGGAAATAGTACCTAGATGGCCAGAAACAAAACTTTTAGTAAAATTCATTATCATCACATCACCGTTACCGGTAGTCCAAATGAAGCGCCAACAAAAAAAAATCTCATGGTCTTTTTTATCAGGGATTTTCTGCAACCAACAAGATCTTATTAATGTATGTGATATACCATAGAAAACAAAGCTTAAAAACATTGTCTTTGAGTATGTTCTTTACATACTTCAAAACCGTGATTTCACAACCACCTCAGCCCCACCATGGGTAGGGCTGAGGTGTGAAAATTTAAGGAAATAGTACATCTAGATGACCGGAAATCACACTTTCACGTAGTAAAATTCATCATCATCACACTATTACATAGTCAAAATGAAACGCCAACACATTTCTCATGTACTTTATCAAAGATCTACTTGATATCCAGGACAACTTGACCTAACTATAATTTAATATATAAGCTTATAACTATCATCAACACCTTTATTTTTCGCCTTTAGCACAATTTCCTTCACATTTTGATATTATTAATATTACTATCAATTATCATCATCATCATCATCATCACCATTATTATTATTATTATTGCTAATAGTATAGTATTATTAAACAATAGGCCCTAATTTAAAGAAGCTTGCAAAAGGATAAAAACCAAACTGAGCCATACAGTATCACGTTTCTGTATCTTAAAAGACTTGGCCTGGGATTTATGGATTTTTAAAAATCACGCTTAGACA